GTAGCTTTTAAAATGTTGTGTTTATTCCACTTGGTCCTTAATTTTTACTTTTTTCATCATCCTATTAACTCTGAACAGAAGACTTTTATTTCTCTTCTATTATATTATATATATATTAATTTATCCCATTTACTCACTCTAAAACTTTTCACTCAGTCTGTTTCATACGGTGGCTGAGAAGTGCAAAACACATTTACAATTCAAAAACACATTAACAAATAAAAAACAAAATAACATTGTTCGGTTAGCGTAAACTTAAGAAAAAGAGTTTCAGTGCAATTCTTTCCATCTAAAATCGCCGCTGACTTTTCACGTAAAGCAGGAGGACTACAGATTGAGCTGTTTGTACTACAAGTCAGGGTAATGGTGACGTCACATCCGGCCACTGGGACATTCACTTTCCGTGTAGCCGTCTTTTGTTAATTTGTTTTTGGCTATGTAACTGTGTTTTGCCGCTTGCAGTTTTGTCTGTGCACTTGTACAAGTGTTTAAGATGTGTTTTTAGATGTAAATTTGTCTCCCTATAATGCATTTTTTTTTTCTCTAAAATGAAACTTTCTCTCACCTAAAATCGAACTTATTTAAAATGTGAATTTGTTTCCTAAAATTAAAATTTGTTTTTAAAAATTTTAACATTTTTTTTTTTCAAAAATACATTTGTTTCATAAAATATAATTTTGTTTCTTCAAATGTTATTTTGTTTTTTATTTTGTTTTTTATTTGTTAATGTGTTTTTTAATTGTAAATATGTTTTGCAGTTGTTTCATAAAATATAATTTTGTTTATTCAAATGTTATTTTGTTTTTTATTTGTTAATGTGTTTTTGAGCTGTAAATGTGTTTTGCACTTCTCAGCCACCGTAGTTTCACCTTGAAGGCCGTACCATTATCCGCAGGATGGTATTTGTAGACCAGACGTAGCGTCTTCCCAAAACAAGTCAGATTATTTCTCCAGGTTTAATTATAACGTGTTACTGTTTAACCAAAGTGTCTGTAATTTGTTTTGACTCTAACTATTTCTACATTGCTGTAAGTAAGGAGGAATGAACGTTGTCCAGATCAGAACAGAGCAGAATGCTGTGCCATTAGGGCTCTATGATGAACTCTTCTCTCCTTGCAAAGATATGAATAAATGTGCCGACTGAGTGAAATCCATCGATCTCCGTTTATTTAACTAGGATGAATAGTTCAATACTTTTTTCCCACAACAGCATGATGCTGCCACCAAGGACCTTCTTTGTGTTTTCTGATCTTTAACTGTCATGAATATNACAACAGCATGATGCTGCCACCAAGGACCTTCTTTGTGTTTTCTGATCTTTAACTGTCATGAATATGCTATTAAATAAATGAAATTCCCCTTATAAAAAAAAGATAAAAGATCTAAAAACAGAAAGTTGGACATTTAATTAGTAAAAAATGGAAATAGGTAGAGGTCAGGATCCTGGCTTTTATGCCTTCTCAAATATCTATACTTACGACAGATGGTGGGGGTTCTCCATCTCACGCAGGCTCCAGCCTCAATGCATGCGGCTGCATATGCTCCTACAGCTGAGCAGAAACATTCACAATCCCCTCCTGCATTACAGGAGCATGTATCTGCCACACAAGCATCATAGTACTGGTTTGGCTCCACCTTTTTTGAAAGAAAAAAAACAAAAGTAAGGAAAACAAATCCTGCACTCAAGTTAGTTTTGGTTTATTCATTAAAATTCACATCAACCCAATAAAAAAAAGAAAATGAAAAGCAATCCACTTGACTTTGTTTCCAAGTTTGAAGAAGTTTGGCTTCTTTTGTTGGCCTGCAATGCCGCATACCTGTCTACGTCTCTGAAAGGTCAGTCGTAAAGAATCCAAACAACCCCAATCCCGAGGCGGTGGAGCCCTTTGTCCGTTTCTATTTGCATGCTTTCTAAACTAAAACCAGGCTTTGTTGGGTTGCTGGATAAAACCTGGAACTAAACGCTATTTCTGACATTTTTAATTGAAAAATCTTCCTGGATGGAAGAGAAACGTCTTCAAACTTGGAAACAAAGTCCAGTGGATTGATATAAAATTTTTTTTTAAATGACTGCGATCTGGATGACTGAGAATCTTCACCAGCGTAACTCACATCAACATTATTACTCAAGTTCTGTTTGGGCATAATGAAGTATTTTTGAATTTAGATTGAACTGGATCAGTGTTGCATGTCTTGTATTTTCTTACCTTATTGTGGCAGGCAGAAAACACTTCACTTTTGATAATGTTGCAGTGTTTTTCTGACCATGCGCGTCTGTGAGAGTACAGGGCACAGGGGTTCTGTGTTATGTTTACATCTGGGCAGGTGGAGGACAGTTTCCAGCTGTTTCCAAACACTGTTGGATTAACTACTATTTCATTGCTTCTTGTGGTGAAATCATTCCTGATGGCCCCATCGTAATTCCCACACAGGCCACAGACTTTACCCTGCCATAGAGTGAAGGCAAACTCATTTCAAAACTGAAAGCACCTAAACATTTGTTGAAGAACCGTGACATCTCATTACTCACCTTGAATGCAGAGCTGAGTTTAATCATTAGTGTTGTTTTCTTATTCCAGATGAGAATAACACCATTCTTTGCCTCAATGACGACATATATCCCCATAGTGTGGACTTTAAAAGGTATGTCCATCTCTTTGCTTTGGCTGATCACTGAGATGCTTTCATCTGACAGAAGGATTTCTTTGCTCTGAAATAAAATAAAGTATATTCACCAAACAAAACAAAAAA